AGGCGGCGAGATGCAAACAGATCAAACCTGATCAAAACAAGCAAACTCACCAATGCATGGAGTGCATTTCACATTGGTGGTAAAAAGAGAGGTAAAAAGCTTTCGAAGCTGCTGCTCTCGCGGCAGTCTTTTCAAAAACAACCTCTATGGTGGAATCAGCTACTTTCTACGAACGACTGAGTGTGGGGTGGGGTGGGGTGGGGTGGGATGTTAACATTCGGTGCAAATTGCACGCTCATACAGAAGAAACCCTTCTACGTTGCTACGCAATGCGAACGACGGAGTGTGGGATGGGGGTGTGGGGTGGGGTGGGATGTGATGTTAACGTTCGGCGCAAATTGCACGCTCATACAGAAGAAACCCTTCTACCTTGCTACACAATGCGAACGACTGAGTGTGGGGTGGGGGTGGGGTGGGGTGGGATGTTAACCTTCGGTTCAAATTGCATGCTCATACAGGAGAAACCCTTCTATGTTGCTATACAATACTAGTACTCGTGCTGTGTTGCGCATACATATTTGCTTGCACACCTGCGTGTTTAAAACCCGTCTGGATTTATTCATATCTAACCTAGGTTAGATATCATCCTGCAGGACTAGCCCCACAATATTCCAATATCCTAGCACTCCATGTATGGAATATTGTTTTACACCTGGGGCCTAGCTAAGAAGGGGCAAAGGTACCAATACAGGGTGTTCCAAATTAAGTAAACGGGCGCTTCTTGTTTCCTCAGGAAGTGGAACCCAGGGATCTCCATATATTGGAAACCAGCAGCCCAATCTTGCTGGTGTGTTAATGCCGGGCACATTGTTTGACGCGACGAAAGTGCATCGAGCCGTCGAGCCGTCTAAAGAAACGCTATTTGTCTTCCCAAAAAAACGTGAAAACGTTTTTTAAAAGAACGTAGTGTTTTTCACAAACGTGTCACAGTCTTAAATAAACCCGTAAGGATATATATATAATTATATATGTGTGTGTGCGCGCGTATCTATACATAAATATAGATAGATATATATATATATACAAATCGATGTGGGGGAAAGGCACGGACAAAGTAAGAAACCATAATACAAGTATAGAAAACCCATAAACTCCCCTCAAGTGAGCTGGGGGCAACAGGAACGTGCTTGCAAGCGGGGCCAACAGGTATATCCTTCTCGATAACATCTGCCAATGCTTTTGTGGCACCGCTGACCTTTGGCATCACTTCAAGCACGCCGGAGCGCTTGCTGCTTCCCATCAAGAGCACCTCCCAGTGAAAGGACGAACTCTTGGACGAACACTTCAGGCGTTGTAACACACGCACAGGACTGTTTGTGAGCGCAAAAAAGATCAAGAGCAAAAAGCTGATGCTTGGGAGTTTTAAAGAAGCACTCTCTCTCTCTCTCCCTCGCTCCATCCCTCCCTCTCTCCCTCTCTCTCTCTCTCTCTGGACTGAGAAGGGACTGATGCAATAGTTAATTTTAGCAAAGGCTACCAACAGGGGAAATAGGTATACAGAAACCCTCACCAAAGCAGCCAGGAGCGCACTCTTTTCTGCGATGCGAATGGGAAAAAATGAGGTATGGCCAATCAACCGGTCGAAGGGGAACATCGAGCACCAAACCGAACCAACCACCACCTCGGCATAGCATATGCCCAAAACATGCACCCAGCATGGGCGCAACCAATTTCCCCAACCCAAAGCAGGACGTTGGTCCACTGCACAAGCGTCCAAAGAGTCATGTTCTGGGCATCCGCACCAGCTGTGAAGCTTGGGCTGGGTCCATCCGCTGCAGCATCATTGCAGCCTCCTGGCCAGAGGCATGTTCGTTTCGGATCGCAGCGACCTGACGCCAGTTGTCCACGTCTCTCCCCGCCTTCCGCGGCAAAAAAACGACGTCCAAGCCGCCCCCTTCTTCGGTCCGACGAGGTCGCGGTAGCGAGTGCCAACGCCGCTGCGATGGGGCCTCCGTGGACAAATGGTCCAAGGTCTGCAGCCTTGCTTCTAGGGCGGCGGCCACCTGCAGGGCGGAGGCATCGTGTAGGCGCACGGAACAAAAGGCGGTGGCACAGGGTGGGAAACAAGGGGAAGTCCTGAAACCCAAGAGGCGTCTCCATGTGTTCGGTCCTGAAAGTAGTTGCGGATTGGGTTTGCGGTTTCCATGAGCTGAAGAACAAACGAAACGAAACGGCCATCAACTGTGGACCGACTGGAGAATCTGCTGCTCAGCTAGAGTGGTCATCTCCAATCTGAACCCAAGCAGGGCATCAGCTGCGCCGTGCCTCCCTGCTAACCCGCAGCCTCCTCTTCATCATCACTCGGAGTTTGCATGGCCAAATCACAACTTCGTCTCTGTCCCAAAAGACTTGATCCTCCCGGAGCAATTCACTAGCGTACACAATTCTACCGAAACCATTCATGGCGCCATTCATGCCTGGTCTCAATTTCATTTGTGCATTTCGGTCGGATTTGGCAAGTCTGTTGCCTTTCATGTGTAGTGAGCTATCAAGCTTGGACGAAGACGCATTGCAGAGCTGCACGCAACCCTGCCGGGACAAGATCAAGTACAGTCAGAAACCATATTAAACCATAGTGGCATCATGGTGGCATTTAGAAAATGATGCAATGTGAAATCATCAAGACATGTGCAACAGCCAGTTTTTCGGAAAGGCTGTCCACATCTTCCAATCCAATCGCCCAATTTATACACAGTAAATGAAATGACCCTCTTTGGCCCTCTTTGGCGATTGGATGCATGGAGCACTTTAGTACAGTATATCAGTTGATTGGCGAACACAACAATGTTCGCAAATCTGGTCTGCACAACAAAGGCACGCAAGTAAGTCACCAACTAACCAAGGCAAAATATTTGTCGCAAAATAATTCAAAATAGAAAGTGCAGCTCACCAGGTTTGCGACTACACCCATGGCAGCATGTGAAGCTCTACAAAACCAATAGGTTCGCTCAACCAACTGCGGACAGTCAACGCATGGCCTAAACTCGCTCCAGCTTTTTGCAGTCACGCCTGACTCACCTCAGCCTGTGGCGCGGCACCCTCTGCAAGTAGGAACTAAACTAACATCATTGAGACACATTATACATGTATGTATATTGATTACAGTATACTGAACATGTTGCAACAGAATTCCATCAAACGATGCACCAGACTTATGAAGAGATCTGGATAAATGTTTCTCAATCTGTATCTGTGAATTGGGCAAGTATTCACACTGGTAGGGAGGTTGTAACCTGAAGTTGTAGGTGGAGTAGAAAATGAGGTTAAA